CCTAGTGCAGATAATATTGTGAATATTTCAAAATGAGGGGTGGAAGAGGGCATTTGTCCTTGCAGTGGGTCCATATAGTGATCCCATAGTGTTTCTAACTCCAGTTCCAAGGGGTCGAATGCCCTCTTCTGGCTTCCTCAGATACTACAGGCATGCTGGTGCAATACATAAATGCACCAAAATACATAAAATAAAAATAAGTTATTCTTTTTAAAAAAGAAAATTATAAAACTTGAATTTAAAACTACATTACTTGTTTGTAGGGAGAGAGAGGGTCATGCATACTAGTGGGCATATAAAGATCAGAAGACAGCTTGGCAGGAGTTGTTTTTCTACCATGTACATCTAAGGCACTGAGCAATAGTCTAGGCTTCAAGGCAAGTGTTTTAACTTTTGAGCCGTCTTCTAGCCCTGATTATTAGTTCTTTAGAAGAATGTGTAGTCACTTGGGGATATAATGTTAGTTAAGTCTTCAGGGTTAGATAATGGCTAGTCTTTTTAACTTAAAACCCATTTTGAATTTTGTTTTAAGACTAGCGTCTCTAGCCCAGGCTGGCTTTGAATGCCTTACAGTTCTGCATTAGCTCTTTAAGGCCCTGGGTTTCTTTGGTCCAGTTCTAAAAGTGGAGAGGGGGGAAGGTAGGTGGAAAGTGTAATGACTACCCCTCACCATTTTATTGTCTGTGCATGGGCACCAAAGGACAGAGTAAAACCTGAGTAGCTCACCAGAAGATGCTTTAAGACACATTGTTTCTATTTCACATCAATGCAGATTCTTCCAGAGGAAAGGCGTGGAGCTGAGCTTGATTATCGAAAAGCCTTTGGAAATGAGTGGAGAAAGGCTGGTGGACACCCAGATCCAGACAAAAACAGGCCAAATGCAGAGTTCCTCTCAGCCCATCCTAGATACCAGCTCCTCTGCTGCAGTACGTCCAGGTAGCCCGTGGGGACTCCAGCTGGAACAGGGCTCTGACATGGTAGTGCAGCAAGGCCATGCTTTGTCTTCTGTGTTTTGGGGGGCTCTTTGTTCCCCTTTTGAAGGGGTTATGGGCACTTTCCTGGGGCTACTAGTTGAAAACAGGTAACTAAATTGCCAGTGTCAACATGTCCCTAGAGACCTGTACTTTGTAGGAGTAGGGGTTAGCCCCCTGTAAAAGTTGGCAGTACTCCAAGGTCAACTCAAGCACTGGTATTTTCTAAAGCTCCTAGGGTTGCACATAAACTATCATTCTCCCCAAGTCCCCATCCTAAGGTCTTAATCTTGTATTGTTTGGCATTCAGTGTTCACAATGGTTAAATTACCACTCTAATTGGGCCCCAGGCTTTGAAGCAAAGGATTGGACATTATGTACCAGTGTAGTTTCCATTTTGTTGTGATGTCATCATTTTTATCATTCTGTGGTTCACATTTAGGCCATTTTTTTCATATATTTCCTAATACAAGCAGCTCACTGCATAAATGTTTCAGCTGGAACATTATTGCAGGAAGACAAGCTGCCTATGGGAATTGCTTTCAAATTACTCCATTAGCTGGCCCAATTTCCTGCCTGATCTAGGTAAATTCTGAGTCACTTGAGGGTGAAGGGAAGGCTCTAAACAGCCTATAGGTGCATGAAATTCAGCTTCTTACTGCCAAGGGTGTGCAGAGAAACAAACAGCAGCTAGCCAAGTACAGTAGGGAAGGACAGTAGTTCCTCCTTTTCTGTAGTTTCACTTACCTTTAGTCTCTACCTCAGCCCAGACATTCCAGACATTAAATGGAAAATTCCAGAAACCAAAAATTCATTCTTTTAACTGCATACCATTCTAAGCAGTGTGGTGCAGCACAAGACTGCCTCTGTCCAGCATTTCATGCTGTGTGTGCCGTCTGCCCCAAGTCATTCAGTGAGTCAGCAGGAAGACCACCAAGGTGTCACAGTACTTGTGTCAAGGGCTTTACCTGAACATACCCCATCACAGATGAAGACAGTGCCATGATTGCTTTGGTTTGGTTTTTCCAGAGTTTCTCTGAGGTCATGACCTCAAACTCAGAGATCTACTTGCCTCTGCCTCCTGAATATTGGGGTTAAAGGCATGTGCCACCACCACCTGGCCAGTGCCATGATTCTTAAACTCCAAAAAGCAGCTGTGAAATGGACTTACTGAAGATTAAAATTACCGAAAGATGTTCTGAAAGAGCAGGTTCACATAACTTCCATTACAGCACACTGGGGTGGTTGTTCTATCATGTCTAATTTATGATCATATGTATGCATTAAAGACATAGGGATAGGGTCTATCTATCTAATGCTATTCAGGTTCAGATAGCCACTGGCCTAGGATGTGTCCCCACAGATAGGGGAAGCTTCTCCTGGTGTTGCAGGTACAGGAAGTAGTCTTCAGCTGGACTAAACAGCTGACTTAGTGTCTAGCTAAAACTTGATTGGGTCCTATGACTTATGTCCAGATCATGCATGATTTCTCTCAGGATCCTGAAGGAAAGGGCATTTTCAAAACTGAAAACAAGTACTAGTTGGAAGGTTTTGAAAGCATTGGGATAGTAGTCAGGCTACTGTTAGAACAAACACACATAGCCACAAATAAGATAATTACTTACCTTATTTGGAGGGACTATTTATCTCTCTTGACCACCTAGCAAGCAGCTTTGCAGGAGAAGGCTAATCCCAGACTAACTGATCAGTGATGCTGGGTTGGTCCTAGGAAGAAGCTCTGTTCACACTAACATTTTTTCCTTATTGTGGCCTCTGGTTTTTTGTTTCTTCTTAAACAGAATATGGTGCACCTGAAGATGAGGAGCTCAAAACACAGCAGCCATTCATGCTAAAAAACCAGCTACTAAGTAAGAATCCTTTCAGATTTGCACTGAGGTCTTGGGTAGGAAGCAAATGGTGATGACCTGCTTGATAGAGATAAAGTGTGCTTCTCTACCTTCCTAATGCAATTTTTCATGTTGTGGTGACCCCTAACTGTAAAATTATTTTCATTGTTACTTTGTAACTGTAATTTTGCTACTGTTGTGAATCGTAATGTTAAATATCTGTATTTTCCAATGGTCTTAGGCAACTCCTGTGAAAGGGTCATTTGACCCCAAGAAATTATAACCAAAGGTTGAGAATCACTGTCAACTCCAACTCACCCGGTCTGTGTTGAGCATTCTGGCAGCTCCCGTACTGCAGACTCACTGAATAGGCTAGGTGTAGGAGGGAGCAGAATAGTAATCCATGCAGGAATATGGAATCCTGTGCTGTGTCCTGCATGTCCTAGCTAAACCATCGAGAAGGAGTGTGGAGGGAAAGAAAAGTGAAAGAACCCTGGGTCAGCTGTTTGAGACAAGATCTTGTTTTATACCAGGCTTCTGTGTACTTATTATTTTCCATCTCTAGCCTTCCCAGTTCTGGGACCAGGAAAGTATTTTTCTGTTTTTTGAAACAAGGTCTCATAGATGGCATGTGTTGTCAAGGCTGGCCTTGAATTTGTGGCAGTTCTACCACAGCCTTCCAAGATGGGATTACAGGTGTGCATCACCACACCCAGCTTTATGGAAATATTAATAAAAAAAACTTAGTATCGTTAAGACCTACTTATGAGGATTGAGTCAAGTTGTATCAAACTGCTGCATTTTCTGGCAATCTCTTGGCCTAAACATTTTCTTTACTGGTGCTGTTATTCAGACTGAGGCCTTGTGTATACAAGTATGTGCTCTACTCAGAGGCAAAGTCCCAATTCTACATGTATGTGTGCTGTAAATTCTTGCTATGGTGATTATCAATCTTTTTCCCTTTCTCCTTAAAGCACTAAAGATAAAATGCTCAAATCAACCGGAACAGCAAATATTAGAAAAGCAGTTGCCAGGTAAGAGCACATCTGTCTCTGCTATCCACATGCTTGTGAAGCACTGGTAGAGCTAGGCTGGAATGTGAATTTTTAGTTCACATAGACCTAGAATGGTGTTTTCATTAGAGTGTAGTTTAAAACATAACAGAAAGTTCTGGTCTTCATTATACCATCAGTGTATCTGGAAAATAATAGTTTTATTAAAATTTGCGAGCTCCTTGTCTGTTATGGTGGTGGGTTTTATTTGTTTTGAGATGAACTCAAGATATCTGCCTGACTTCTGCTTCCCAAGTGCTGGGGTAATAGGCTTATGCCCCACACCTGAGCCTGTGATCATGCGTTCAGCCACAGGAATGAGGACTTGAATGCTTAGACCCTTAGAGGAATCACTCCCCAGATTGAAGCTCGGGGTCTTTTATTCTCTATATGATTCCCTCATCAAGAGAGAAGGTAGTGCTTTTAAACAACTTGTGGAGAAAGAAGTATTTTCAGAATCCTTAAAAAAATATTTGTACTCCTGGAACTGAGTTAATATTAGGAAATTAAATGCTTTTGGATCAACATAAATGACCCTAGATTTGCATGACGCAATTCTGTAAATTCTCAAGATTAACTTGATTCATAGCTAAAGACTGGTGGGTTAGATTTAAAGCCAGAAGAAATGTAAATGTGTGAATCTGAATGACTCCAGTAAATACATTTCCCTATTTGCCTCACTGATTTTAAATCTATGTCCATCAAGTCTGCACATGGAAAGCTAGATGCTCCATTCAGAAGAGAACTCTTCTGAGTAACCATCCAATTTAGAGCTGATTTCTCACAATTTCTCTTTTTTTTTTTAAGCTAGAAATCCAATTTCTATTACTGTGGTATGTAATATATAATGACAAATTAACAGTGTGTATTAACTTTTTTCTTGTTGCTCTGAAAAAATACTTAGGTAATGTAAGGAAGGCCATGGCTTGAAGAGAGGTCAAGTCCACCACGGCAGGAAACATACTGTTGGGAGTGTGGCGATAGTCATATTAGGTCCATACTAGAGAAGCAGAACAATGCTGGCACTCAACCTGCTTTCCCAGTCCACTCTCTCTAGACACAATAAATTTGGTCAGGCACATTCAGGGTACTACAGCTGTTGAAGTGAGTCAAAAACAGGAAAAGGCTAGTTTATTCTAAAATAGAGAAGATTTATTATCACAAGTTGCATTAAAAACAGCATTTATAAAAACAATTTTATAGAAAAATAATTGACTACATCGTAATATTTGTGGGACACCACACTATTGCTGTACTTTCAGCTAAAGCTTCAGAGAAACTAATATTCTTAATCAAAATATCCACTATATACCACAACCTGTCTTTGGAAAGAAGTTCCTAGTATGTTCTTAACAGACCAGAGCATTTGTTCTTCAGAGTTACTTTCCCACACCTAGTATCATATGTGCACATCCTGATGGTGACTGGGTACTCGTGCTGGGTGGGACTTCATCAACCACTTGCATCTTCTGAGGGAAAATAAGGCTGAGAGTGCCCCTCAAGGTCCCCACTCCAGGGATCTTCAGCAACACCCTAGGAAGTTATCACAAAGGCCTATATTTTATCCTCTTCAGTGAGGTAATTATTTCTGGTTATTCAGATTGAGGAAGAAATAGTAAATGGTATGACACCTCACTGTCAAGACCACTTGGGTCAAACACTGGCTCCATTTCCCACTTTGTTAAAAGACTCACCTGGTAGACTGACTCAAGCTTTCCATCAATGGCTGCCTCGCCTGAGCTGTGTCTACATGTAGTCATTTAAAAATTTCTTTTCTTTGATAGACTCTATGACAGTTCAAAAGGTAAAGGGACTGCTGTCACGTCTCCTCAAAGTTCCTGTGTCAGAGCTTCTGTTATCCTACGAAAGTTCCAAGGTAAGTTGCTAAGCAAAACCACAAAGCTAAGCTTAGTTCTCCACAGTACTGTGAGCCATACATATCAGGCTCTAACTGGAGGCAGCCTTTGACTTTGCAGCTCACCGGCCATTGGAGGGTGGCATGGATAACGTGCATCATCAGCCCTGTCTTACTGCTCTCCACCTGACTCTAATTTTAGATGCCGGGCAGAGAAATTGAACTAGAAAATGACCTACAGCCATTACAATTTTATTCTGTGGAGAATGGAGATTGCCTACTAGTGCGATGGTAACAGTCCAACCAGAAGAGTTTAACGACTGGAAGGTATACACGAGGAACAAAACCTTTGCCCTCACAAATGATGTTATGTTTGATGGGAAAAGACCATTTGGTTGTATATTAATAGAATAATAAAGGCTTTGATTACTATTGATTTTTCTGCCCTTTCTGTTTTCACAACTTACTGCATTCCACTATGTGAAGAAGTGGAGTAGAAACAGTAGTCTAAATCTGAATACAGTTAAAATCTGCTGTGGGCTACTTAACTTGTAAAAAGTTTACTACAGTGATTTGGTTGGTCATTCTGAGAAATGTCTTTAAGCTGAGGAAACACATCTTCAGCCTGTAACATACTATTCCCTATGTTATGCCTACACTGAGCCTGTCTTGCACATATCACCATCTCCTATTCAAGCTTAGGTAAACATCAGGCAAGGCAGAGTGCCTTCCCTACGCTTCCCTGTGACACTGAACCCTGAGGTGTATACTTTTACTCATACTCACAAAAACAGTTTAGTGAGAGTAAATGTCTCAGTACTAAGCTGAGACATTCAGAATTTACATTAAACAGTAAAAGAAAACATGATATGTATGTAAATAAACATCTTTAAAAGTAAGATACCAAACTTCAGTTTACAACATTTCCTTTTCAAGGCCAGGTTGTCTGTATCAGAGATCCACAAACAGGTATTTCTAGCAACCCAGACTTTGGTATTTGTGGCCCCTGTGCCACACAGAATCTTTGAAGTTTCTTTCTGGCCTAATTAAGTTATGCAGAGCTATTTTGTAATCCTGCTTGAGATTCAAATGGAGTTCTTTTCTGAATTTGGCCATTTAACTGAAAATGGTAATAATGAGTTGCTAATCAGTATAAGAGATCAGAAATTAGCAATATTTTTTATAAAATAATTTGGTATAAATAATCTTTCAATTTATAAATAAAAACTTATGCTACAGTTATCAGTTGATTCATTAAGATCTGTGCAAACACTAGTAATACCCTACTGCTTACAGCTCAATACCAGCCACAGCTCTCCTCGGATTTACAGTTCCTGTTCTTTGGGGATCATTGTACTTTTGCTTCACACTGGCAAGGATCCCCACACAGTTCCTTCAGTTCCCACAGTTTGCTCAGCTCGTCTGGTGAGTACTGAGGAGAAGACAGCATTCCTGTCTCACAGGTTTTCTCACACAACCACAGGCTGTCCTGTTGAGAAACAAATACAAAATAAGAGACAGAATCAGGAAGGACTATATATAGGACACCTAAATGTAATCTACCAAATCTGAACAACTCATGAGACTTGGGGTTAGGGGATGGCTTCTGATTTTGGGAAAGCACCATGGCCTTATAGTCCTGGGGCTATGAACACAGAAACTGTTGTGTGAAAATTAAGAGTCAACAATGCCACACCACCCCATAAATATATTATCAGTTAAAATAAATACATTAAGATTCTCAGCACATGCAATTATATGAAAACAAGTACAGGGAGCACAAATGAATACTTTCATATTCCCTTTTAGAGAGTCTTGGTCATAAAGTAGTGACAGCAGTGCTCTGATAGGATGCACCATGTCTTTTTAAATCTAAGTATCAAATGCTGTGAGGGTTGAAGCTGAGTTCCTGTCACTGTGCTATAAGAAGAGCAGGCATGTCCAATATGCCTGATCTAAGTCCCAAGTACTATACTGCTCAACAGAATAACAGGATATGTATATGAAGAAACACATTGGATCTAAGAACAAAAATCCTGGGTAAGATCTAAAAATCTTTTTAAACCATGTTGTTTCTAATGGACAGCCTGTGCCTCAAGGGTACCTGGTGATCCCTCTCAAAAGCAGCCTAGAATGAGGGCCTCACCAGTGGCAGCAGAGTGGGCACTATTGCCTTGGGTACATGGAAGAGAACAAAATCTTCTGTCCAAGAGGCTCTTCAGCTCCAGAAGGCAATGTGAATTATTTAGAAATGACAGTGCCCCCATAGGGCAGAACAAAATAAATATCCTCTGTATGACTATTTAAGAGTCACAATAAAGGATCTTCACATATCAACAAAGCTCCGCAAATAGCCTATGGAAACTACAAGTCACAGTGCTCTGATTTGCTGAGAAGGCTGTAAATATCATGTAGCAGCAGGACTCGAGCTTATTCCTGTCCCCACTGAGTGGTTAAGTGTGGACGTGTGCCTCTGAATGGCAAACACTGCATGTCCTGTTTTCTGTACCATCTACAGCCAGAGTGGAAGGTGCAAGAATCCAGGAATCAATACAACAAATGAAGCAAAAGGCGTGTTTCTCCTAGTCCCAGGCTTCCTACCTTCCATTTTGGTCTCTGCACACACATCCTGCCTCCACTCCCACCACCACACCACTGTGTCCTTATAAAATAAAACTCCAGGTGAAGTCTGCTGTCAGAAGAGTTGAGAGGTCTTCTTACTGTCATGTGCCAGAAACTCAAGTCAACAGACTAAATTATAAAACTATAAGGAATTTCTGATCAAATACAAAGACCTAATTATTCTTTGAGGGTAAGGAACTTTAATTCATAGCATTTCTTTTTGGTTTTAAACATAGACAAATATGAGGAATAATGAGGTGGAGTGTTGCTACTTAAAATCACAGCTGGGATACCAGAAGCCTTTTCTTTCCCATGCCAAGGGTTGGATGTTCACTTGCATACCTCCAAGAGCCCTGAGGCCAGCACTCCCATACCTGCTTACCTGGTGTCTTTTAGGTCCTATGGCTGCCATCCAAATGCCCATGCTGACATCTTCACCCTACTCATGAGCAAATGCAAACTTCTTAATGTTTTTGTTACAAAAGGTGATAATGTAGAGTTAGCCAACCCAGATGTGTAAGTTTGAGCTAGAGATGGGAGACAGGAAGCACACAGCAAACAAGCCCTTTCCTCACATATCTTTACATCAACACATTGGACATACTTGGTCCCTGACTCTATAACCAAGCCAGGAGAAAGAAAGCACTTCTTTAGCTTCTTCTTTATGAAAAGAAGTGTTTACATTCCTCTACAGAATACATTTCCAAACAAAGATTAAAAACTCTGAGAGGAGGCTCAAATGAAATATTGGAATAGTTATCGTGGCTAGATTCTGAGAAGTGTCAGGTTAATGTCCCTGATCTTTAGGGAGTAACTGCTACAGAGAAAGGAAAACCATGGTAAGCTGGCTCTGCTTCAGGGACATCTCAGGACATGACTGGATTAGTGATCTTGTTACCTGATAGGTCTTTAACCTTCCGGAGTTGCCTGCCAGCCAGTCAACGATATCCTTGGAGATCACATACCCTGACCCACATGCAAAGGCAGGGTAAGCTGGGCTGGGGTATTCCAGCTCCTGCCATTTTCCGGTTCTGTCCACTGCCCAATTCAACCTGAAACTGAAATGTTACAAAGGTGGCTTCTTTGTAATGGCTGGCCACAGCCTTCTACTAGATGACTTTGATCACTACCAAAGAGATAACCAGGGAAAAATTCTTGCAGCCTAAGGAAAGGAATTATTTACCCAATGAGTTAATACAGATTAGATAAGCTCTCAGTTTCTGAATGGAAGCTAAGGGAAGCCTACCCTGTGTTTCAGGACATACTTAAATGAAACCAAACCCACCGAATCACCAATCCTGCAGTGTTTCTAAGTAGCAAAGACAACAGCTGAGGAAATGTGTCATACATGATTCTAACCAAAAACAAAAAACAAAGTAAAAAGGATACAACAGCTTCAGAAGACCATGTGCTTCTAAGACAAAAACCACATCTTTGATTCTTGGTTAATAAACCTGATATTTTTTCAATAGAATAAAAAAAAAAATCCCTCCTAGCGATAACATATTAATCCAGAAGAGTAGTCAATAAATTTCTTAAAATTTTTTGTGTAAAAATAACTTCCATATTTCATTCTAAATTAATCACACTTAGGTATTGGCAGTCCATGTTTCACTTACTTTCCCCACCAAAAATTTGGCCCATCTAGATTCTTCTGAGCAATTCTATTAAACACAGCTTCTAAGTCTATGTAACAGTCATCATCTGTCTTGAGCAGCAAACCGAAGCTGGTGGATTCCACAGTCCTGTTGACAGAAAATGAAATATGCAAGTCTCTGCAGCTCTGGAAGGACACAACACTACACCCATACAGCTGTGCATCTTCAGTGTCTTACCCTACACACAGAACACTATCACTGTGGCCACTGACTGTACTTGGTCCTCACTTGATCAACTGGGATAACAGAAGAATGAGAAGAAAGCCTGACTGAAGTTGAATATCCATTCTAACAAGGGCTTCCCAGTCATTCTCCACATCAGCTGCCAGACCTACCTGTCACATGTACCCTGTCCCACATGTGCCTATTTACAGAGCCCAAGATCATGGGACAGGTATCAGACCTGAAGCTTTCACTTAGAACTCTGAACAAGGTGTGTTATGAATTGGGCCAGGTGTGGTGGGAAGCAGATGCAGGTAGAGCTCTGTGAATTCTAGGCTAGTCCAGATGCTGAGTGACAGTCTCAGAACATTTTTTAAAAAACTGAATATATTATGGATTAAAACATGACTTACAAGGTGCAAACATATTTGTCTTTGGAACCAATTTTCAGCATTTAAATTATTATAAACAACCAACCCTCTGTAAGGGGTAAGAACTTCATTTCTCAACTGGACATAGCATTACCTGAGGATTCAGCTATACCACTCCTGGGCATACACCCAGAAGATGCTCCAACATATAACAAGGACATATGTTCCACTATATCCATAGCAGCCTTATTTATAATAGCCAGAAGCTGGAAAGAACCCAGATGTCTTTAAACAGAGGAATGGATACAAAAAATGTGGTACATTTACACAATGGAGTATTACTCAGCTATTAAAAACAATGAATTCGAGAAATTCTTAGGTAAATGGATGGAACTAGAAAATATCATCCTGAGTGAGGTAGCCCAATCACAAAAGAACACACATGGTATTCATTCACTGATAAGTGGATTTTAGCCTAGAAGCTTGAAATAGACAAGATTCAACTCACAGACCACATGAAGCTCAAGAAGAAGGAAGACCAAGTGTGGTTGCTTTGGTCCTTCTTAGAAGGAGTAACAAAATACTCAAAGGAGCAAATATGGAGACAAAGTGTGGGGCAGAAACTGAAGGAAGGGCCGTCTGGAGATCATTCCACCTGGGTATCTATCCCATGTGCAATCACCAAAGGTAGACGCTGATGTGGAAGTCAGCAAGTTGCATGCTGACAGGAGCCTGATGTAGCTGTGTCCTTAGAGGTCTGCCGGAGTTTGACAATATATCTTATAAAATACATTTTTAAAAACAGCCTTGTTCAGAGAACCTTGTCTTGGCTTCATTTCCTCTCTCTCTCCGTCCCTTTCTTCATTTCCAGCCCCCCTTTCAGGTAAACTCAGTTGATTCATGGCCGCAGGCGGCTACAGATGGTGCCCGCAACAAGGGACCTGAAAATGGGGGAACAGCTGAGAAACACTGTCTTGGGTGGAGCTCCACGGAAAACAGAAGAAGAGTATCCCGCACACAAAGTTGGGAACAACTTTGAAGCTTAGAGATGAATAGACAAGAAACTCAACCTAAATCAATCAAAGACTGGACCAAAGACCATGTAAGACAATGGGTAACTGAAGACCTTAACACTGATGAGAAATATGCTCAAATCTTGCTTGATGAAGAGGTAACAGGGATGGTCCTGCAAGAACTAACTGAAGATCTCAGAGAAATGGGCTTGCTATGGGGTCCAGCACTTCTGATAAAACATATGTATAACAGACTAATTAGTTCCTCTGAAAGTCACAATCTAAATTCTAGACAATTAAGTATAAAAAGCTCTCTATGAAAGAACAGCAAAAAAAGACCAAAAATGAGGAAGAAAACTCAATTTCACCCAACAGTGATCTTGGCCTCAGAGAGACAGGCCAGTATGAAGAACAAGAACCAAGGCTTATGAAACAAAATGTGTTAGGTGACAAAGTGACTAAAGACATGGAAGGTAATAAGGCCAAACCAGAACAGATTTCTTGCGTGCCGTACCCTTTTAATTCTTTCCACGATGTCAAACATACCTAGAGCATTCTATTCTACGAGTTGCTGAGACAGGGCCGCTCAATCTCATTGACCCAGTACATGAATTCAACGCCTTGACAAACCTAGAGACAGCCACACAAGAGGATATAAAGATGAAATTTAGCAATGAGACTTTCCGATTTGCAGCAGCTTGTATGAATTCACACCCCAATGGCACTATTCATTTTGGAGTAAAGGACAATCCACATGGAGAAATTGTTGGTGTATAAGTTACCAGTAAAGATGTCTTTATTAACTACTTCAACGTAATGATCACAAAGTATTTTGAAGATAGTCAAATCAGAGAAGCCAGAGCATGTATCCAGGAACCATGGTTTGTAGAAGTCCTTCAGCAGAACAACACACAATCTAATAGATTTGTCATTGAGGGAGATGTTATTCCCAACCATTCAATATGTCAAGAAAAGTATTTTTACACTATGATGCAAACTTGCACAGATACACCATGGAAACAAAGCAAAGATACCTCACTGTGAGAGGAGGAGCTAGCTCTAGGAATATCCTGGGCAATCCCAAAGAACAGGATAGAGAGTCCAGAAAATTTCTAGAGGATTTAAAGACATGGATAGCATCTAGAAAAGAAGCTGAAGAACAACTTAGTTTGGTAGCTAAGAAAAAGAGTGAAGGACTAAAACTGTCTAAACGTTTGACCAGAAACCAAGGCTCACTTGATAAATCTTACTATGATTGGTACATTCTTGTAACAAATACCTGTGCAACAATTCAAGTAGAGCACTTAGATTTCATAAAGGAAATTAAATTGTTTTGCTGTGCTTGATTTTGATCCTTACTATCACATCAAGGGAGTGTTCAAAGCTTACAGAGAAAGCAGAGTTGCAAACCTCCACCTACCCAGTCATTATGAGGAAAATTTCTACTCTGAAACTTTATGAGCAGCCCAGCTGGATCTTCTGCAATGGCGAAGTAGACTTATCTTGTCAACCTCTAGAGCCACATTTATGGCAGAGAGATAGAGCTTCTGGGTCATTTCATTCCTCACAGATGAAAATATAATAGTAAGAGGGAAGGTTCTGGTGTTGTTTCTCTTACTTTCTCTAGTAGAACACCAAAAAGATCCATTTCTTGAGACTTTCTGTGCTTTCTATCAAGTTTTCAATGGAATGGACAATATGTTGTGCATCTGTGTAAACTCAGCTATCTACCAACTGTGGAGTGATTTACTACAAGTAAGACTGGAAATCAAAGGTGACTTAGCAAAACACAGCATTTCTACTTTAAACAGAACTGGTCAACAATACCATTCTGAAACTGAAATCAGTGATTCAGTGTTTGAGGAGATTTTTGTACACCTGTGGCTCCACCTCAGTTATTCTGGAAAAAATGCATGAAGATATCATGAGTGCACTGGAAATCCTCTGTGAAAGTGAGTGTAGAGATACAGACATAGAGAAAGATAAATCTGTGTAGGAGGAGCTAAGGTGGGAGGAGTAAGGAGAGGAAAAGGAGGAAGAGGAAAAGGAGGAGGAGGAGAAGGAAGAGGAGGAGCTAGGGAGAGCAGAGATGTAGGAGTGATGGAGAGCCACACAGGTATAGAAAACAGTCGCAGGTAACAACTTTTATTTAGGTTAGCTAATTGGGAAACAACTCTCCTTGTACGGGCATATTGGTTTTTGTTTGTTTGTTTGTTTGTTTTTTGCTTTTTCGATAGACAGGGTTTCTCTGTGTAGCCCTGGCTGTCCTAGAACTCACTCTGTAGATCAGGCTAGCCTCGAACTCTTGAATTCAGAAATCCACCTGCCTCTGCCTCCCAAGTGCTGGGATTAAAGGCGTGCGCCACCACCGCCCGGCTGGGCATATTGTTATTGAGCATTGCCAAACATATAAAGCCTTTGAATAATCTTTAAGCATTAGAGTCTCATTTTCTTACTGAGCCCGTTGGTTGGTGGGATGGTCTGGGCATTGCCCAGCCTTGTGGAGACAGTGTAGAAGATTGGCAGAGCCATCTCCCATGCTGGCGTCTCATGGGTGGCAGGGCTGGTGTTTCTGGCTGGCCATTTCTAGCTGTGGCACACACATGGCCTTCGGCCAAGAAACATGGACGCTGAGCTAGTCAGAGACGCTGCAGCATAGATAGTCAGCTTGACCAGCGGCCGTTTTTAAAATAATTACACAACAAATCTAAATTCCTAGAATTTAAGAAATCAAGAGAAGAATATTTTTATCGAGGAGGCAGAGTATCCTGGTGGAACTTTTATTTTTCTTCTGAAAGCTACTCTTTAGCTTTTGTAAAAAGGGATAGTTTTGAAGAGCTAACAACTTTAATAAAACAGTGTGCAGAATCTCCTAAACCAGTATTTGCCAAAGTCACAAACCTGTACCATCACCCAGGCTGTGGAGGTTCTACATTGGCTATGCATGTTTTCTGGGACTTAAAGCAGACATTCCGGTGTGCTGTCCTAAAAAACAAAGCAACTGATTTTGTGGAGATTGGAGAACAAATAAGCAAGCTGTTCAGCTACAAGACAACCTGCCACCAGGATTATATTCCCATTCTTCTCCTTGAAGATGATTTCGAAGAACAACAGAACACCTATATTCTGCAGAATGCCATCAATTCCTTTGTAGCAGAAAAAGGTCTAAGATAAGAAAAAACATTAGTAATAATCCTGAACTGCATGAGATCTCAGAATCCAGATGAAAGTACAAAATTAGCTGATAGCATTTCACTAAAATACCAACTTTCTCCCAAAGAAAAAAGAGCCTTTCGGGCCAAACTACAGGAAATTGAAAAGGAGTATAAGAACTGTGAAAACTTTTATTCCTTCATGATCTTGAAAGCCAATTTTGATACAACTTACATAAAAAATGTAGTGAAGAATACACTGAAGGACCTGGATGCTAAAAGCAAGAAAGCCCAGCTCATTTCTTACCTGGCATTTCTCAACTCTTATGTTACAGACGCTACCATTTCAGTATCACAGTGTGAAGTATTTCTGGGAATCACTTTTACCATTAAAGATGGGAAACCTGAACCTATGTGGGACTGCGTAAGGGTATCCTGGGTCACGATGGAGCAGGTGCCTAGAACCCCAAGACTCTGCAGATTCTGGGTGGGATTCTGCGTGAGAACCGGCAGGTCAAGTTTACAAAAGTGAGATCAGACAGTGGTTGGGTAAAAATAACACATGTAGAAGTATTAGTGTGGATGATCTAACACACTTCCTTGAGGTTGCTTGAAAAGGCTTCAAAAGCCTTCAAAGAGTCTCAGGAACAAGCTGATAGTAAAGACTATGAAACTGAGGTCTGGTCACCACAGAAGTCCCAAAGAAGATATGACACATACAGTACAGCTTCTTTGGGGAAACAGAAGTAGGTCTTGACACTATCCAGCTTCTTCAGCTCATACCTGTTTTCCATAAAGAAAATGAAATGTCAAAAGAATCTATGGTACAGTTTTTATCTGGAAAGGAGACCATCCCTGCAGACTCGAAGGTTGAATATTGTGTTGTTCTTAGCAACTTTACATCCTTCCTACAGAATTTACAGTCAGATTTGAAAAGATGCTTTGATTTTTTTTTTTTTTTGTGGATTATATGGGTCTCCTGAAACCAAGAAACACTCTAAAAGAATTGAAAGAACTCTTAGTAAGAAAGTCAGCCACTGTTTCAAGCAATATGCAGAACTTTTCCGCTGTGTGGATACCAACTTGTTACAGGGCAAAGAAGATCTGTTACTCCAAGAGGAGAACTGTAGGAAGCACATAAAAGCATGGCAGGCAGATACATTTTCAGGACTCCTCGAATATCTTAACCCAAACCACAAAGAAGCTAACAACATGAAAAATATAGTGAAATATTACACCTTCTTATTACAGCCTACCCTAAATAACCAAGTGTCAAAGGCTCTGACAAAGGACACACAAAATTTCATCTTGGCCAACATTATTCTCAGTCGTCTAAAACACAGTTCCAAGGACATCGTACCATTTAACACACTGAAAACAAAGCTCAGGGAGGTCCTGCAGATTGTGGGACTCATTTATATCCCCATCCTTGTTTCCTGGCCCGCCTCCTATTCTGGCCAGAAAACAAAGAGCTAGATCAAGATTCCACACTAATAGTCTCATCCTTGAATTGATCCTTCAAGAGACAGCACAAGCACATGTGCAGGTTCAGGCAGCCAAGCATGTTCTTCTACCTGGGGAAGAAGAAGGGTCTTAACAGTCTTGTTCACAAGGCTGAAATCGAGTGCTACCTCAGTGAAGTACAAGATTCAAATTCCTTCTGGCAGAGTGGAGTAGTGTGGGAAAAAGGAGAGATCAAAGGCCTCCTACGCCTGCTGGATGGCCAGGCTGAAGGCAAACTAATATCGCTAGAATATGGAACAGAGGCAAAAATAAAAATACCAGCGACTTCTGTGTATTCAGGTTCACTAAGAAGTGGAAGGAACATAGAGTGTCCTTCTACCTAGGATTTTCCACTGAGGGTCCTCTGGCATATGGCATAAAAGTAATCTAAGGATGTGTACTAGTTCAAAACAATGTTGCATCTATCAGTGTACTTAATCTTTCTAGCCTAGAGAATTTGCATGGCACTTTTGGCTTAATTATAATCACACAGTTTGCTTCTTTTTCTCTGAATCAAGTATGGGAAACTTTGTAGGAGAGGAAATATGTCCACACCACAGAGCTTGTCCCACAATAGCATCAGTTATTCCATACCCTCAATCTGAATTCCCAAACATAGTCAGTTAAGAGGTTTCAGTTGGTTTCTATGAGTCATACTCTAGCTGATCAATAAAAATCTGTTGTAAATTTAAAAAAAAAACCTTTGAATTTTTTTTTTTTAAAGATCCAGGATGTAACAGGTCAAATCTCAGGTGATGAGCCTTTTAAATTTTGAAATCTCAATGATTTGATGATGTTTCGTAAATCTATCCAACATGCATACAACCTACCATCTATAGAAGTTCAATAATTTTGCAGGAACATTCCGGTAAGTATCCACAACATCCACGAAGACGATGTCATCATAGACACTGCTTTCCTTCTGCAGTAAGGCATCTTCCTCTTGCAGATTCCGTAAATGATCTGCAAGTCTCTGGGGCCGAGAGTAAAGACTTCGTAATAGTGCATCACCTTCTGAAAAGGAAAAGCTGACTATTGAAGAAAAACACGACTGCACACTTGGGACCCAGAACCTACAAATGTTCCCAAAATTCCTTCCCCGGAAAGCCAATGGAGCCCACGGTCATTAGGATCTACAGGAGGGGCCGCGTCACAGCCCAGGGAGCCTACTTGTGAGGTGACACTAGACATCTTACATGGACACTTCTCTGCAGAACAGCTTCTTAATGTTGGTAAACAACAAAGCTAGAACCCACAGAAAGAGTTCAACTATGCTTTCCTTGCATAACAGAATGCATTAGTTTGAAAAGTAAGCTTTTTTTGGCTTTGTTTTGGAGACAGTACTGCCACACAGCTTAGGATGGCTTTGAAATCATAATCTATCTTCCAACAGGCTCTTAAGCATCAGCATTTCAGGCATATGTTGTTGTACCTAACACAATAAAGAACTTTTAACATGACAAGATGACCTTTCACAGTTAAATTATAAAACAAAGTTAACTACATTGAGTTTGCTTTTGCACTAGCCAACTTACCCTGAACAGTGTAGATAAAGCCACCTGCAACTCCCTCCACACCTTCCATGAATTCATGAGGCAGGGCCCCTTCCCCAGACTGAAAGGAACGAAAACAGAAATGTTCAGGCATGTCCTGACTAACAGAGAATGTGTTACAAATGCAGAGCAGAAGAACCAGCAGATGCTCCAAGGTGCCTGCCCTACAGCAGATACTGATGCCAGGGTTTATTTTTTTTATTCTTTTACTTTATATCTTTATTTTTACTTTATGTACATAGCTATTTTGTATACATGTATGGTCACCACCTGCATGCAGTGCAGTGAGATAGGAGGTCAGAAGAGGATCAACTACTATTAACTACTATTTCAGCACCAAGCTTGCCTGCCAGGCTCCACACCATAGTGGTCCTGAACTCTAACCACTTGGAACAGTGAACCCCAAATTAAACACTTCTACTTATAAGATGCCTTGGTCTTATCATGCAATAGAGAAATAGTGAAGATAAACTCCAGTGCTCTGAACCACTAAGCCACCCTTTCAGCCATGGATTTAAAGTATATCTAACCCTATCACTTTAAAAACATTAAAAAAAAATTTATTGAAAATTCTCATGAATTTGATAAGATCTTAGTGCACTAAAGAATTCAGGAGTCATGCAGAGAAAAGTTTCTTTAAATCCCAACATGTCGAGACTAACTTCTTACTGCTGCTCAAGACCTAGGACATAACTGGTGCCAACAGTCCTGCCTCTCAGAGGCACTTCCATCAGTCACCTCCTTACAAGTTCCCCCACCCACTGACTCCTGCCTTCTCTATGTTGTGTTTCAATGTGGCTGCCTTCTGAGGCTGTCAAAAGCAGTCATCAGCACTTTCACAATATTTCCTATATAGACTCCTTTTGTCAGAATGGACACACCATTTTAAGGCCACCAGAGTATTCTGAGGTCACTGTGAGTAACATGTATTTAATTTTATGTACAGTTTGTAGTAGAATGTTGTGGATTTCAACTCTAGTTCCATAACTGCAGTATGCTTTCTTTTTAAACTGTCAGTATATTCTATTTGCTTTTGGCTTGTTTAGAACGTAACGATACCCTAATACTCATTGTGTTCTGGTCTGATTTCTGCTGTTGTGATAAGCACTCTAACTAAAAGCAACTTTCCTGAGAAAACTGTTTACACTTCCAGGCCACACCCATCACTGAAGTCAGTCATGGCAGGAACTAAAGCATGTCTTAGAGGAGGCCTCGTTAACTACTCCACGAAGCATTCTCTCTGCCCTGGAAACTGAGTCACAGCTAAGGAAATACAGCAGACATCAGGGAGGAGTCCTGCTGGACAGCTCACTCACAGTCCATGCTTAGCTGGTTTCTTTATACAGCCCAGGACCGATTGTCCAGAGAACAGAGCCACCTACTGTGCAATGGCCCACTTTATCAATTAACAATCAAGACAGTCCCTACAGACATGCCCACAGGACACAGATTTTCTCAGATGACTCTAGGCTGGACCAAACTGACGGTTAACGCTAACTAGGACTCTTGTTTATTAACTTTTCCCAAAGGTCACAGCCTGGCTTTAAATATTCCTGACATCATCCCTTACTGGCAGAGAAGAGACGTGGTAAAATATCTCCTGCTCAGGGGTTTCCACCAAGCCCCCCTTCCTTCTTCAGTTAGCTGACTGTTTAAGCTGTCTCTGACCCTCCACAACTATCTTTCCTCCAGAGCAGATCATTAGTCTTTATATTTGAACTTAGTCTTCGACTCAAAAGGAAACTTATTTCCTTAGTATAACAAACTCAAATATTATGGAATTTTGGTGTATCCTAGATATTTTTTAAGTTTCACAAATAGAAGGTGGCATGATAACTAAAGGCAGCTGTCCTGAAAATAATAAAAGAAAAATAGGATTTCATTCTATAAAATTCCTCTATCTTAAATAAATAATTGGTAAAATACTGTTCAAGGCTAAGACTATATTTATGTGACTTTGTGGGTCCATTTAATTAATAGTTTCTTTTGTTTTAAATATTTTAAAATTACATTATTTGTGCATATGTACTTACATAGGTGTTCTCACTGAATTTAGGGCATCAGGCTTGGTATCATATGCCTTTAGCTTCTAAGGCATATTATAAGCCCCTGACTTACGGACCTGTGATGGAATAACTGTGCCTGCCTATCAGTGGGTGTTCAAGAAATGCTTTCTGAATAAATAATAAATGACATGACACTCAAAACCAGGAATGATCTCATGTTAGCGGGGCTAATATTCAAGAGATTACTGAGCTTCTGTATTTAAATGCCAAGTGTCTTTCTATTCGTTACACTAACTACCAAGGGAGACGGCAAAGTTGTCAGTAACAACACCACAACATGCCTCTTGATTACCGAGTCTGTCTATACCCTTGCCATGTTACATTTGAGAAATTTTCTTGAGGAAAATCTGGCTAAACAACAAATATGATTCAGAAACTCTAGAGCTGCTTCAAAATTAAACAAAAGCAAGCAGTCTCTTTCGCTCCCTTTTTAAAGGCAGCAGGACAGCCCTGAACTCTGGGCTAAAACAATCTTCCAGCTTTTGCTTGATAAGGAGCTGGGAACACAGGCATAGCTTAGTGCTCAGCTTAATATTTTGTAAATAGTATTTTAATTAACATTTTATTGTCAAGGTAAAATAGCCAACTATGGAAGAAATGTTTCTTTTCTTCCTTTCTTACTCTGTACCCAGCTGGTCTTAAATTCAGGGCAGTTCTGCTGCTTCAGCCTCCTTGAGTGCTAAGAACACAGGTATAAACTACTGTACTAAACCATTAACAAATGTTTCTAAAAAATGCTCACTAAAATGTTGAGGAATCAAATATCATACTTTAAAATGTATCAACCTTAAGACAAAACTCCATTATTCATTAATACTGGAGTTACAGGAACAAGCCATGCACTTTCACTACAAGGACTCAGGAACACTTTCTAGTGGGTATGCTTGAAATCCCTGCCTGAAACTTCCTGGGATAAGAGTAAATTCTAAATTTTATCCATACAGGACACAATCAAAGCACAGCTTACCGTGAGGACTCTGAGAACACCTCCTCCATCGTTCACTGTCACTCTGTGCAGGTTTCTGGACATGAGGCCATGAAGATCTTGGCTTTCCCACACAATTGTACCTTCGAAGCTCTTTTGGGGGAAAATGATAGTGAATCAATTTGTTTATTCCTGTCACTTTGATTTTAAGAAAGTATTTACATGAAACTTAAAAAAAAAATGTCATCTCTCCTGCCCCAAAACACATCAGTTAAAAATTTAAGCCACTCGTTAGCATGGTAGTGTATCTAAAACATAATCACAACAGGGCCATTGTGTTTACAGATACTGCCTGGCTGTTCTGCTGGGTCAATTTCCAAATGTTGCTACAACTGCTAAAGCTGTTCTTTCTAATGTGGGTGTAACATGCTACTTAGCTGAGGTTTGATTTACAGCTGTTGTCTGCTGACAGACACCTGATAGAAATTAAGTGGCTACTGTAACATAGAAATGTTTTGGTATAAATGTCTCTTTTCCCCCAATACTTTATTTAAAATAAATTCCCAGAGGTGAAATTACTAGGGAAAGGTATGTTTAGGTGTTTATTTTGGTACACTGAAATTGCCTTTGAATAGTTATTTTAAGGTCAATAGCAAAGAATGAGAATGCCAACTTCATTGGATTCTCTCTTCTATAAAACTTAGGAAAAAGTAAAAGGTGCAAGTTGATGTGACAGATCTTTAATATGTGACTGTCTAACACTTGCCAAGTCATGGTTCATTATACACTGAACATTTTGAAAATAGAATAGCTCTTATCTTTAAATATTACCAACATTTGGCCATAAACACACTAATGAAAAAAATGTATTTTGGACAAAATTGAGGTAGATACTGTTCAGGAAGAACTTCAGATTACCACAAAAGCAGACAAGTCTTAAAGTAGTTAAGGTCAGAAAAGTGGGAATCTACAACACAACACCTTCAGAATCATAAGCATTTCACAGGCTGTAATACCAGGCTGAGGAGAGAAAAGGTCTAAGGTAGGCCAGATGCTTCTCTATGCACCATGGAGCTAGAAGTGGGGACGACTGGAGGTGTCAGCCGAGTGGTCAAGGCTGGTAGGAGAAAAGAACCAGCTGTGTGCTAAGACCAAACAACACAAGCTCCCAGGGAACTGCCTAGAGGTCGAACTATAATTGTTCTTCTACATAAGACATCACATTCCAATGACTGAGAACAGCTTAAGAGTGAAGTTTAAGAAGTGACCTTGATACTCTCCAACAGTCTGCCACTGGCAACCACACAAAATCTAAGCAGCAATGTAACAATATGAAGGAGGAAAAGATTCTGTTATAAAGTACCTGGTTACAGCCTCCTGGGTGAAACGTCACTTCAAAATTCTTAACTTTCTATTGCTATGATCAAATTCAATGCCCAAACCAAGTACTATTCCAAGTCATGTTTTTTCATACACCCAATCTCCTGGAGTCTTTTGCCCTTTTTTATGCTGTACTTTCTTCTCTAACATCAGTAAAATGTGAAAGGCACTAGAACACCTTGGGATTAATTAGAATGGATAGGACTTACTTAGGTCTAAGATCTGAACCAACCAGATCCCCCAGAGCTCCCAGGGCCTAAACTACCAAAGAGTACACACGGAGTGACCCATGGCTCCAGCTGCATATGTGGCAGAGGATGGCCTTGTCAGGCATCAACAGGAGAAGAGGCCCTTGGTTCTGTGAAGGCTGGATGCCTCAGTGTAGGGGAATTTGGGAGGGGGGAGGCAAGGGGAGAGGGGATGGGAGAAGATGGGATAGGGAGTTGGGGGGGGGGAATGTCGACCAGGAAAGAGGATAACATTTGAAATATAAATAAAGAAAATATCCAATTAGAATTAAAAATTTAAAAAATGGGAAATTAAAAACAGAAGAAGATAAATCCTGTGATTCTGGTTTAGATGGTTTAAGAAAATCTTAGACCCAAGCCTGAAAGCACAGGCAATGAAAATGGTCGAGAGGAAGACAACACACCACTTGAATGCCTGGGATCAGCTAGCACATCTGGAACACTCTAGGGACATCTGGGCAGGAACAAATGAAATGGCCTAAGTATGCTGAATAAAGAAAAGCAGGTGGCCAAGAGTCAAAACAGTTGATATGAACCCAAGGACAGGCATCTGTGAAAGCCTTACCTTAAGCCTGCAGAGAAGGTGTAGAGACAGAATACACCATTCTCTGTCCCCAATTCAAATGGCATTTGGCATCTGCTTTGCTCTTTGCCAGTACCCTGATTTGCTCTTCCTGGTACCCAACTTCATTTAGTGTATAACTGGACCATGATCATCTCCATAGATGTATACTGGTGCAAAAGACCTTGATGTTCTCTGAAGCTGTGTGAGGTAGGGCTGCAGCAACACTCTCCCTTTCCCCATCCAAATCTCAGCTGACTGCTACACCTCACACACACCCTTCTATTTTCTATTATAGGTTTCATAAAACCAGGAAACTTATAACCCAAACAATCACTGACAACTCTGAAGATCACAAAACTACTGACTTGGAAAAAAAAAAATCATGGTTATAGGCTGGGAAAATGAATTTCAAATTGTCTCAGAAAATAGTAAAGGTTACTATAAGCCCTTCCACATGATAATGATTCTATTACTTCTAATTTCTCATCCATAACAACATAGGAGCTAAAGCATAAGAGCAATGACAACTGCTTATGGACTAGAGAAAGGACTTACTTTTCAAAACAAAGAAAGCCTAAGTGTCCACCAAGCTAACCGTGCCGAGTGATTCAGCTGCATCACAACAAGTCTGCTTTCTAGTAAGCCAGCTTTAGATTTCAACTGCTTATTAAGTAAAATATACAATTAGAGAAATAACTACTTTAAACACAGTAGTTTTCACTTAAACTTGTGGCTCTTGCAGAGGTTACTGTTCAGTGTACAGGCCACAGGATGAACACTTTACAAAAGAACACAACGTGACAAGCTGTACTGATGTGCTACTCCAGCTATCTATTGTACACGTGTGACTTGACTCCTCACAGATGCGTTACACCACGGGTGACTCTCACTCTTCTCTGGTAAGACACAATCGCCATGTCCATTAGGTTCTATTAGGTTTGATGTAGGGAAAAAAAAAATCAAATCATGTATACAAGACATATTTAAAAAAAGAAAGAGCTACATATGGTATGAATTTAATGTCTAGAGTTCTAGAGGTTTATTATTTTTTTATAAAGCTGATATGCATCTATTATAGCCTTTTAGAAAATATATGAAATAAAAATCATCCCACATACCCATTAATAAACAACTCTACTTTTCTCAGTATTTTTCAAAAATAATGAATTATCTAGTATAATTACCTTAAAGTTTAAAAGGGAAGTAAGGCTTTTAGGGATGCCAGTTTTAAAAGTTCCTTCCAGCCAGATTCTCAAGGCTGCAGAGGCAGGCAGAACCTGAGATGGGAGCCTGCCCACCTTGTCTACAGTGCAGGTTCCTGGGCAGCTAGTGCTATAGCTATACAGTGAGACCCTGTCTCAAAACAACAAAGACAACCGAATAGCCTCCAAGTGTGGACAGCTGAAGGGGCTTTGGTGGGAGGGAGAACCAGTGATCTCCTTAAGGGGGCGGCCACGGCAGGCTGCGCACTGGTGGAGCATGCTCTGGAGTATATAGACTATACAGATTGGAGCCTCTTATCAGAAAATTTTAAAAAGAGGACTTAAATTTGGGTGATAAGAAGGTAAGGGTGGATCCTGAATGAGTTTGTGGGAGGGGTGAATATAATCAAAATAAACTAAAGAAGTTCTCAAAGAATTTACAAAACTATTTTTAGTTGTAAAATGTAAGGTAGACAAAGCAGCACTCACTTGCTCTTGTTGGTGTAGACAGGACTTCTGTTACAGTTTTTAAAAATCAATTATTCAAAAAAAATTAATTCTTTGACAAAAACAAATCAACAAAGATCCTCCAACTATTGGCACTTCTGTCCCCTAAATTTTTATTTTTAGGAACCACAAACCTACAAAAACGTTAGAGTGTGAATGCCCTAGAACTAACTCTCTCTGTAGACCAGACTGACCTCTAACTCACAAGACCTGTGTGCCTCCAGAGTTCTGGGAGGAAAAGTGTGCAGCATCACACCCAACACGTCTTGTTTAAATTCTTTAGATAAGTAAAACATCTAACTCACCCGAATGATCTATTGTCCCTTAAGACCTAATACTATCCTTTGTCACTAAGACAGTCACAGAGTTCTCAAGCTAGCCATGGAAACAGGCAGTACAGGCTGTGAAATTCTGTTGTTGTAACTGCAAAATTTAGTGCAGGCTTTGTTGGTATTGCTGCTTCCATACTATAGAGCCGATGTGGTGCCACAAAGCACACATACCTACAAAACTATACACTGGCCTTCACTGTAGCCATACCTCTGGTAAGATGAATTGTTCCACAGGCTTATACCATAGCTTGTTCACTTGTATGCCACAGCTTGGAGGACTAAATCGGGCGATGAAAAGGGCCTCCTGCAAGGTGGGTAGGGAAGAACAGAAAACAAAGACAAATATTTCCTGTTATACACTGTCTATGCAGCTGATTCTCAGCTCTGCAGCTTTTCACCAAATCCACAATGCTGCTGGTCATGCTCACTGTGGTTTCAACAACTTTCATGTTTTAAAATCGTTTCTTTTCTTAAATCTATTTTATGTTACAAGTGTTTTTAACCACTAAGCCTTCTCTCCAGCCCCATCTTTCAGATTTTCTAGTGCTATTTCCATGGTCATTAAAGTGCTATATTGTTTGTTTTACAGCTCTAGGGAGTCAACCACCAGCCCCTTGTGTCCTAGATAAGCATTATGTTACCACAGGAAGCCACACAGACCTCTTTTGAGATAGTGTCTTGCTAAGTTCCTAAGAATACATTTGATTCGCCTGTCTCCGCTTCCTAAGCAGCTGGGATTGCAAAACAGACATTTAATCTTTTATTAACACTGCTAACAGCATTAGCAATTTTATTTTTTTTAAGACAAAAATTTAAGTAGCTCAGGTTATCCTTACACTTGTAATCTTCAAGCTCAGCTTCCCTAGTGCTGGGACTGTAGGTCTATACGATCATCCCTGGAAGAAAACAAAGACAACCCAGGAATGCCACAGAAGAGCCGGAGGATGAGGAAGAGTGCTGTCAAACACTGTCCTATGGACATGACATGTTTGTTGCACACAAAACTTACTATAGTGACTAACAACACAAGACCTGCACAAGATCAAGCCAGTTAAGTGTTTCTAGCATGAGAGAGGGATGAGCTGGTAGGTCCCACCATTAGCTCTGGAGCAACTGATAGTTGGCTTTGGGGAAGGGAGATTCACTTTTCTTTTGAAGTATGACTACTGGTAGGTTTCCCAGTGGATGACCCCAAGCCCACGTTTATACATACAGAACTAACTGGACTCAGTGGGGATGAATGGATAGATGGGTGGATACATACATACATACATACATACATACATACATACATACATGCAGGAAGAGGCAGGGAGGGAAGAAGGGTGGTCCAAGCTATACACTCCAGGTTGACCTGGAATTAACTTTATTGACGAGACTGGCCCTGAACTTGGAGAAATCCTCCTACCTCAGCCTCTTGAACATTGGAATTACAGTTCTGTGTTTGACCATGTCTGACTTCAACAAAATTTAAACAAACCAACCAGCCAACAAAAACTGAAAAGAAGCTTCTAGTAATACAAACCAATTCTATAGATAACAATGAACTCTGGAAAAACATAAAAAGGATCTTCACTAGTTATGAGGATACCTACCTGTAATCGAGCACTTGGGGCTAAGACAGGAAGGAGGATTTCAAGTTTAAGGACAGCTGGGATGCCTTATCTCAAAAACAAAACAAACAAAGAGACTCCCCCATCTCAAAGAACAAAAACAAACCAGTAAGTAAGAACAAGAAAATCTGGAGGAGGCTAGAATTCAAATACAGGCAAAACCCGGAAGAGAATCAAAAAGCAGAAAAAGGGAGACGGGGTCTACTCCATCTTCCCCTTAGTGCTCTTTGTTGAACGTACAACTCTACTTCAACTTTAAACAAACAAACAAAATACAGAGGATGCAGGTGGAATAAAAACATCAGATACAAGGAAAACTCAAGTAAAATTGACATACACACATACATACATATGCACGCATGCAGGTAGGGGAAGGGAAAGGGAGGAGGAGAAGGTGAGAAAGGATGAGCTTTAAATTCTTCATATAAACAGCCCTGGATCTGAGGCTGACCCATGTAACATGCATCAGAAGCAGAACCCACACAGCCCAACTAAGAGCGAAGACAGCCAAGTAGGAGTTCAGCTGTTGTCCACTGCAAAGAGTCTAGAGTCTCCTCCAGCCAACCTAACTGCTTGCCACAGCAAAGCAAATGAAAGGCAACTGATACTCTTGGAGGGATGTAATGAGAGGTCCTATAGTATATCATTCACAGCATCTGAACTACTAGTTACTAGGCATAAAAAGAAAACCTACATCAACAGAAAACAATTGACCCAGCTATTTAACAGTGAGAGGCTAAGATCCATATCTTATGAAAGACAATATATGTTGGCATTCATCTTTCAAGCCTTGGTGATCTCACTTAACATAACGTTCTCTAGGTCTGTTTCATCCATTTTTCTGCAATTTCATTTTTCTTTATCACTGAGTAAAATTTTATTGTATGAATGTATCCCATTCATCTGTTCCCTGCTATGTAAAAACAATAGTGATGACACAGATGTGGGAATATTCCTGCAGAAGGCTGTTGAGTCCTCTGTGTACATGCACAGGAGTGGTGTAGCTGGATTTGTGTGTGATTTGATCACACAGGTTTCTACAGTGGCTGCATTAACAATGGATAAGGGCTTCCCTTCCATTATATACTTGTCAGAATTTTTTTTGTTATTTTTGATACTGATCATTCTAACCAGGCTGCAGTGAAATTTTGATTGATCTGATGGCTAGAGAAGTTGAACATTTTTATTTTTTCTATTGAGAACTGTTCAACCACTGGCCATTCATTTGACTGGCAGTTCTTAAGACTGTTTCTTATGTTGGGATTCTATTCAGAAATTTGTTGCCTGTACCTATGTCTTGAAGTGTTTTCCCAGAGCAGTTTACAGTTTTAAATTAAGGTTTCTGATCTAGTTTGAACTGATCTTTTATGCAAGGTAAAAAGATATGGATCGAATTTTATTCTTCTACAGGTTGCTATACAATTTTGCCAGCACCAGTTTTATCTTTTCTCTGGCTCATGCTTCTGACACCTTCATTAATGAAGCTATAAAGAATTTATACTGGGAATTTCTAGTCCAGTCCAACTGGGTTTTTTTGGTACATATAACTCATGTATCTATAATAATCTCTCCCTGAACCAGCACTGCAATGCAACATACTATAACTTCAACCAATACAGGAAGAAAAGTGGAAGTCACACAACCAGAGAGTGGTAGTCTTTCAATCTATTGGAGCCACAAAGGAAAGTTGCTTTGAAAGAAGAAATATCCCATCCATGCCAGTACACACCTCTTGCTCTGTCTGATACAACTTGACTGTGATGTTCCTTTGAAAACCAATGTCACTGGCATCGTAGAACACTCCAAGACTGGTAATCACGATTGGGTAGAGAACTCTGAAGCTCACGCTGACAACTCGGTCTTCAGAGAGTCTAGATGAAGAGGCATCTTCAGGAAAGCTGAATGCCTCAATTTCTTGATTCAAAACTAAACAATGAGAATAGGGTTTATATAACCAAATAAATAAAATTCGGACTTCTGCACACACACATGTGCAAACATACACATATGTGCAAACAGACACACATCCCACTGGTGAATATTAAATATAGGTCAACTGCAAAGCAATGGGAGGACTGGATAAAGATAATAAAAACAGTACTTAGAGTAGTAAAAAAGATTGGTAATTTGATCTTGGTCTGCAAATCCAAAAATGCAACCGCTTATTAAGCAATTAAAAGTTTACGGTATGAAAGGAAAGCACTGCAGTATAAAAGTAACTGAAATCACTTAAAGCAACACTGAAAAGCTTGCTGTAAAGTATTTACAGCAGGTAAGTAAATCAGATTTTGATCACCTACTATATCACTGCCCATTACATCTATACATTAACTACGTCACTGTGGGGGAGGAGCACTATATCACTTGCCAGTTAAGACACTGGAACCCTAAAGGACACTAAGTAACCCCAAAGGATTGCAGACTCAGGAATCAGACTTGGGTCTAATGACTCACAAATCAGTGCTCTTCTTACTGGTTCACTAGCTCCCTGGACTGTCTTTTCCCTTTCTCCAGTACTGGGAACTGAGCCTGAGCTTTATCCATGTTAAGCAAGAACTCTACCACAGAGCTATACCCACAGTCAACAGTCTCTTTCAAGTAAACTTTTCTAATTACTATAATGAACCAGGATAGATTAGATGATACAGACAATACCCAAAAAGTACTAGTTTGAGAAATACAAAACCTACTTTAAAGGCAACATTCTTTGTAGTTTTTAGAACTATGGATTCAAACTCTGCTGATGACCCAGCCAGTTAAACAAATGTGTACACACATATTTACTTATAAAGTAAATGCAGAGACTGTAGCCGGCCTATACATTTATATCAGGATTGTGAGTCCAGTTCAGTGGGGGTAGCAACACATATTTAGTACACACAAGGCTCAGGATTTGACTCCCACCACAGAAGCTCTCATCAAAAACCCCTGGATCACCGGGTGTTGGTAGTGTATGCCTTTAATCCCTGCACTTGAGAGGCAGAGGCAGGTGGATCTCTAAGTTCTACACAGAGAAACTTTGTCTTGGGAAGAAAAAAAAAAAAAAAAGAAAACCACTGGATCCCTCACCTCAAAAGAACACAATTACACACAAAATTCTGCATTGTCAGAATTTACCAAGTTCACTGATATCTTAAGAAAAATAGCACTGCTTTACAACAGAGACTCTAGAATACGGCCTAACCTTGTACACATAGGGCATTTGGGTCCCCCATTTCGGTCCTGATACTTGGCAGATTTTTAATAAAATGAAGACTAACAGGAGCTGCTGCATACTTGTTAACCGACATAGACAGGAGAGGGAACAGGGACAGACAGATTTTTGCCATAAGCAAGAGAGCACTGTCAACATCCAAACTGGATAACAGCAAGTTTTTCTCTTTAATATATTCAGAGGATGAGCTGGAGAGATGGCTCAGAAGTTGAGTGCTGGCTGCTCTTTCAGAGGCCCTGAGTTCAATTTTCAGCAAACACATGGTGGCTCCCAACCATCTATAATGAGATCTGGTGTCCTCTTTTAGTCCTCAGGGGTACATGCAAATGGGACACTATATATACAATCAATCTATCTATCTATCTATATCCATATCCATATATTCAGGAGACAAAAGGCATCTATCTATCCAAAGTAGAAGCATATATATTAAAAACAGCAGGTCAAGCTATTCCTAGACTGTTTACCTTAAAAAATGTACCTTAAGCTCAAGCTGCCTGTAGCAGGAAATCTTATTGCTTTGATAGCAGCTATTAATCAAAACTTCTAGACATGCAGCAGCATGACTAATGCTCATCACGACCTTTAGATACTGAAATAATCCAAATGCTCGGGAGTTAATAAGATATACTTACATTAAACAGCGCAGTTTAAAAAACTATTTATGTATTAAATGATGAAAGCTTTCTACTTCTGAAATATCCACTCCTCTTTTAGTAATAGCACTTAAGCTAGTAAGTTCCAGATAACAAGTGCTGGGGAGGGGACCAGCCTGCACACTGGTAGGCAGGCACAGCACAGCAGCCAGTAAGCCGTACCTCCAGCCCTGTTTGAGTTTCTGCATGTAGTTGTTTGGCTTTAATTTAGTTTTCAACTCGTTAACTGTCTGTAAGCTACTGCATTAGCAACAACACAGCATCTGATGAGGTTTATGATCCTTTTGCTCTCTACATAAAAGTTAATGGAACCTGTCCTCAGAAGAACACATTTATATGTAAAATTCTGTCTATAATCCTCTGCTTTATAACACAGACTAGAAGATATGCTCAATTTATTTAAAAAGTGAGCTGGAATATCACCTATGAAAAAGTCAGGCTCTTTAATAAAGTATCTATAGAGTCCCAGGACCTACAAGTCTCTATGGCATAGGTACTTTTTTTTTTTTTTTAATAGCATCTAACTCTGTAGCTCAGGCTGACCTGGAACTCAGATAGCCAGGTTGATCTCAAACATGTGGCAATCCTCCTGCCTTTGCCTCCCAGGGGCTGCAACGACAGGCATGTACAGTAACTGACTCTATTCCTTGCTCCAGATGATGAAATACAGAATCAGGAGGCCATACAGCTAGAATGTGGCAGAGCTGGCTTTATCAACCTTCTAAAAGGGAGATTTGCATACCTATGAAGGCCTGACAAACTTTAAAATACCAGAATCCAGGCCCAGTACACTAAACAGAGATTTGGAAAACCTACTTTAGGACTGCAGCTGAACATAACAGGAATGCTACTTCAGTGGAGACCTCGTTAGTATCAGCCTATGCACCCTCACCCACATTCTCAGAAACTTAATTTTAAGGAAAATAATTGTTTGTTTTTTGAAACAGGTTTTCTCTGGGTAGCCCTGGCTGTCCTCAAACTCACTTTGTAGATCAGGTTGTCCTCAAACTCACAAAGATCCACCTTCCTCTGCCTCCCAAGTGCTAGGATTAAAGGTGTGAGACACCACTAACTGGCAATAAAATATTTTTTAACATTTCAAACCTGTTTCTTTTGCAGAATGTTAGTCAATAGTTCATGACTTTTAACTTTTTAAGTTAATTAATTAATTAATGCAGAAGTGATCTTCCCACTTCAGGTTCCTTAATGCTGGGATTCCTGGTTTTAGCAATAATTCAAAATCAATGTTAACTCAAGAATATGCATATTATGGCTATTATAAATTAACTGGTAAAATCACCAGTTTTCCAAAAGTTCAAAATTCAGCAGTCTGTAAGTGTAATGGCTATTCCTGTTGTCAACTTGACTATATCTGGAATGAACTACAACCTAGAATTGGAGGGCTCACCTGTGATCCAGATCTTGAGGCTAGGAGATACAAGTTTCTGACCTGGAACTTGGCAAGGAGATCTTGAGCCATAGTGGCTATGAGAAGCTTAAGCCCAGGCAAGGTAGTATACACCATTAATCCCAGGAGACTAAGGCAAAGAGATCTCTGAGTTCAAGGTGAGCCTGGGACAAAACAAGTCCCAGATCCAAGTGTGATGGTACAAATCTTTAATCTGGGTCACAACTTCTGCTGGAGACCTACACAAGGACATTGGAAGAAGGACGATTCCTTCTTCTTAACCTGCTTGCATTTACCTGCCAGTACATCTGTTAGAATCTATTTCTATAGAATACCGGCTGAAACAACTAGCCTTGTGGGACTGAGCAACTACTAGATTCTTGGACTTCCCATTCACAGCTGACCACTGTTGGGGAGTTGGACTACAGACTGTAAGTCATCATAACAAATTTCCTTACTATATAGAGACTATCCATAAGTTCTGTGCCTCTAGAGAACCCTGGCTAATCCAATGAGTAATCTAATTCTTCACATGCACTGAGTCTTTCTGAAGAACAGCCCTGAAAATCTGTGTCAGTAAATAATCTCAGAGACTCCCTGAGTGACTAGTAAGTCTGTCAGAAAGGCTGGAACATAAATTTTGATGACAAATATTTTGTTGGTTAAAATCAGACTCTCCCATAAAATCTAGCACCTTTTATTTGACAATGAACTTATGAAGAGCAACCTAGTGGACAACGCACCTGGATTGGTGATGTTGAGCAGTCGACAGGAGTAAGGGTCCTCCCTGTCTTCCACAGGCACTTCACAGCCACGGGCTCCTATTATGAACTTCACAAGCACACTGAGAGATGGGTTGGCATTAGAATCAGAAATAGATCTTCATCTTACAAATACCCACTTCCTCATGCTCATTTCAGATCTTTGAGGCTCTAGCATTTATGAGGGCTGATAACAGAAGGAGGGGGCATGCAAACCAAGGCCTGCTAACTTTTGAATGACTTTATGCGAGCTCTCTTGTGTAATACTAAAGCAAGTGTAAATGCTGGCCTGGCTACCAGCAAATGCTCATCTTAGCCAACAGCAGATTCATGGGAACATCAACTTCTCAGAAACTGCACCTTTTCCCTCACTAGACTACTGTTTCTGTAGGAGGCGGTCCTTACCATTCACAAACCCTGTGTCACTCACTGGTCACCTTGTGATCTGTTACCCAGGTTCCCCGTTGCACTTCATCTCTCCTTGCTCTGCTCGTTCTTCTCTCTCTCTATCCTCTGGGAACACTTACTCTCTCCTTGCTCTGCTCGTTTTTCTCTCTCTCTATCCTCTGGCAACACTTACTTATTCCTAAGGCTGTGACTGGTCCAAGAATGATTCTTAAACCTGAACATCTAGTACAGACTCAACTTCTAAGTAATCAATCCTCCAGTTCTTTGGCATTGTCATCTAGATTACCACAGGGAGCTGAGTTCTCAAGTGCAAGCTTAAGAGAGCCTGGTGTCAAATTTTCAGGAATGTTGTAAATGGTTAAGTACAGTCTTTATTAATTTACAGAAACAAATATATTTAAAACAAGGAAACACTCAAGTTCTCCACTTTCCGGGTTTCTTATTAAGGTTATTTACACTTTTATCTATTTAATGGAATAGTCATGATGTATCTTTTTACAATTCTGCACCCAATTACATCACAGTAGTTGCTTGAAATTGGCCTTTGTGAAATATTTAAACCACAAAAATTGATAAGCAATATGGACTCAATTTCTTGTATCACTGTTTATCTAGATTGAAAGTATTAAGAAAATGTTATTAGTGCAGATTAATATAATACATAAAACAGATTTCCAGCCTTTATTTTCTGAGTAGTACTGATAAATATATAAATATGTTTTCAATGTCCAAAAGCTATCAGACGATTCAACAAAGTCACTGACTTCATTGACTGAGAATAAAGTACTGACATATCTTAGCAGAAAAAAAATATGAACATTTATTATTTTTATGTGTATGGGTATTTTGTCTGCATGAACATCTGTGTGCCACATACAATGTAGTTCCCATGGAAGTCAGAAGAGGGCAGTGGGCCCCCTGGGACTGGAATTACAGACAGTTGTGAATTGCCATGAGGGTACTTAGAATTGATCCTGAGTTCTCTAGAAGAGCAAGTAGGTGCTCGCTGAGCTCTCTCTCCAGCCTTAAGTCTTATTCACTTCAGAGCTATATGCCTTTGGTGATTCCAGCCATAAATTTATTACAAATCTAATATTCTGGCAAAACAGAAGCATTCTACGAAAATTAACTGGCCAAATAGAATTTACTAATTTTACAGAGTACTGCATGTTATTAACTATCAATTATGTGCTATAAGTCTTTATATCAATAAAATTGTAATAAACGTAAGTACATAAGAATACACTTTTTTTCCCAGGAAGCCACTCAATGAACATTTACAGAGTACACCATAGCCTGAGGTACCCGAGCTCAAACACCCTCAGCTAAGCCTTGTTCTCTTCTCATCATACTTAGCACGTTGACTGAAGATTTCACAACTCTCAAGTCAGACACCTCCTGTTCGCTCTACAGATTCTGATGAGTCACCACTAAGTAGTCACACTCCTCAGCAGTTCTTGTCTGAACAAGCCTGCTTCTATAGACCTGCCTGCCATGAGCTACAGAGGTCACTGCTGACCTCTCCCAGCCAGACAGGCCTTTCCTCCCTTCCTTTCCCCACTTTTATAGCCTCCTCTCATTTTCTGCCTTCCTAGGTTTTGCCTCTGCTCCCACATTCATCTCCCACAACCCCAGGTTACATGTTACTGATGTTTTTCAAGCACTCCAGGCTATTTAAAAGACTGATTTTATCATCTTCTGTCTGCCTGTGTGTGTGCATTTGTGTGTGTGTGCGTGTGTGTGTACTGCCTATGAGTGTGCCCAAAAAAAAGGCCAGAAAAGGGAGTTGATTTCCTGGAGCTGGAATTCCAGAAGGTTGCAAGGCACCAAACAAAGGTGTGGGTTTCTCTGGAAGAGCAGCAAGTATTCTTAACTGTTGAAGCAGCTCTCTAGCCTATTCCAGGCTATTTTACATATATCTCCATTGTACCCCATACTGTACTATCAACCTACCTATATGTACTAAACTTCAAGGCCCCTAGACTCCAGTTGTACCTTTGTGTTCTAACACATACAGTGCACTACCTGCTTAGGATAGATTAAAGTGACAAACTACGGCCTATTACAGAGGTTTGGATTCAAACACAGTCCTCATAAAATAAATAACACTGTTTGACTCCTTTGGTAAAACATAAGATGTCAAAGAATTATTCCACAACCACAGAATGCACTGTCTTTTACTACTGGCCAGCTAGGCAGAACATCTTATGTAGACAGGTATAGACAAACACGAGTGAATATGCTAACTAAATGATATATACTCATTTTTTTTAGTTATCTTAATAACCTTACTAAATTCATATAACTATTATGCCCTAGAAAGTTACTTCTGGTCTTGAAACTGTTTTATATAGATAATCCATTATTTTCAGAAAACAAACCACAAGCTTACTTCATTTAAGTAACTGCTTCAAAGGCAAATGAATTACTGGTATAAATTATACTCATTACTTTTAGTTCTGGGGCATTCACTCAATTGTTGTTGAATATCTATTTTATTCTTGGCCAAGCTAGGTTATAAATACTGGGGATCTACCAGGAGAATAAAATCAAAGGGCCTATATCTCCTAGTGGGGAGTGATGAGTAACTTATAAATGTATTACACATGCCAGTTGGTGATACATCTAATAATAAAGTCAAGCAGGGGAAGGCAGTGATGGAGAAGTGGAGTGCTATTTAGTCCGAGATTGTCAGCTAGGATAGAATCTACCAGAGTTCTTGAAGAAATGCTACCATGAAGACATTTAGTGAAAGAGTGGTCAAAGCAAGAGCAAAGGCTCTGAAGCAGAAGCTTGTATAGTGTACTGGAGGTGGGGGAAAGAGGGGTTGGGGGAATGGGAAAGACGATATATGTTTTTCTCACATGCAGAACCCAAACTTTGTGTGTGTGTGTGTGTGTGTGTGTGTGCGCGCACTGTGAAAACAGAAGGGTAGACTCTTTAGAGGGAGGGACTCATCATAGGAAGGATGAGAAGGTGAGAGTAAGAATGAGCAAAGTACAATGAAAACTTAAAAGATGTTATAATAAAAACCACCATTATTTTGTATGCATTTAAAAAAATCAATCCTAGGAGTATATGGGGAACACAGTGAAGTGATTATACAGAAGAAAACGTAGACTGATTGAATGACTACAGGAATTTGGAATTTTTATTATATTTATTTAAAGACAAACATCATGTAGCCTAGACTGACCTCAAACTCACTATACAGCTGAGGAAGACCTTAAACTTCTGTCCATGCCTGATAGGACTTTATTCTAAGATCAGAAAAGACAATGGATACAGTCAAGTGTATGCATGTGTGAGTGCAAGCGCACACATGCACACACACACACACACACACACCAGAGAGTTATGAATAGAAAGTTAACAAAATTTGACTAATCTTAAGAGGATCATTCTGGTATGGCAGTTATTTGGAAAACTGAATATGGAATATGTCTAAGATAAAAGCAAGCAATCCATATAGAAGATCTTCTGCAATAATCCAAATGACAAGTAAAGGCAGCATAGAGGGTGTGAGAAGTCTGACTCGGGGTGTGACCTACAAGCTGCACCAACAAGATGTGAGTGGCTGGTATGGGAATTGAAACCAAGGAAAAGATAACACCATGATTTTGGTCTGAGTAGTTGCTGGCATGTTCTGGTTGGGCATGACAGGAAAGACAACAGGAACTCAAGCTCTGGAGGTGGTTCTGAGGCCCTTCCTTGCTAGGTTATAAGATTTATTACTCAAGCTCGAGCTTGAGTTCCAGTAGCCATTCCTGTCATGTACAGTAAGAATGTGCCATCAACTGCTTAGTGCAAAATTACTGTGTTATCTTGGTTTTCTTTGTTTCCCATGCTAATCACTCTGGCCCAAGCATTTCTGACCAGCCACTGGGCCATCTACTATCAGCAAGAGAGGCACTGCAAACCCCAGCTCTGGGAGGATGGTTACAAGAATATGGCATGCCAGGAACACTGTACTAAAAACTGAAAAAAAGTGAAGTTACTGAAAATACTCTTTCAGTCTCTCTTTAAAAAAAAAACTTATTTTAGATATGAGTGTTTTGACTACATATATGTCTGTACACCACATGTATGCAGTGCCCTCAGAGTCCAGAAAGAATGTAAGATCCCGTGGAACTGGAATTATAGAACAGTTGTAAGCACCATGTGGGTGCTGAGAACTGAACCTAGGTCCTCTGGAAGACAGAAAAATACTCTTAATCACCACACCAAGCTATCTATCCAGCCCCAATATCTGACTATTTAAAACTAAGCAGTTTTTGTTCTTTTTTAATTCTTGAACCAGGTAAGAGAATAATTCAAAAAACCCACCGTTGACTTAATGTAGGATGTTGCAGCAAATTCTTCAGCCAGGTGTTCCTTATCACATTTCGAAGTTTGTGGTTATTTCGAGCTGATAACACACCAACCACCACATCATAGTGACTAAATTTCCACTGAGGAAATAAGGCTGATTGATCTATAAATAAGTAACATAAATTCCAAGTCAGTCATGACATCTCAACTACAGTAAACTCAGCATACTTTATAAAAAGTTTATTACAAATAAAACACACTTATGCTTGTAAAATGTACAGACAAATAGAAACAAAATTTTAAATTTCATCTGAACATTTAAAAACCCATAAACTCAGCATTCAGAAATATGCACAACTAACATATTGGTATACAGGCTTTTGGTATCTCACACATATGTATGCATCTATGCCAGCACAAGAAAGATTTTCAAGCTGGGCAGTGGTGGCGCACGCCTTTAATCCCAGCACTTGGGAGGCAGAGGCAGGTGGATTTCTGAGTTCGAGGCCAGCCTGGTCTACAGAGTGAGTTCCAGGACAGCCAGGGCTACACAGAGAAACCCTGTTTCAAAAAAACAAAAACAAAAAAAAAAACCAAAAAAAAAAAAAAAGAAAGAAAGAAAGATTTCCAAAACAAGTTTTGTTATAAGAATCAGCTGTAAAAGACAAGATAGACAAAAGACAAAAACAGGCAGTAGGAAAATCAATTAGGCCACAATTAGAATCCTGGATCCTTCACATATTTACTATGAGATTTTTTTGGGTGGTGTTGTAGTTATGTTTTGAGACAGGGTTCTAACATGTAGTCCAGACTGGCATTCCACACCTACAAAGGTAAAGACTAGCTAGCTTTGAACTTCTAATCCTACTGTTTCCATCACCTCAGTACTGGGATAACAGAATATACAGCTATACCTGGCTGACTGTAAGTTACTTAACCTCTTGCGTTTCAGTTTTCCTTAAATATAAAACGACTACAGTATTTCTCGTAAATGTAAGAATTAAGTGAGGTAACGTGTATAAATAAAGGTCTTAGTTTAGAACTAGTAGTACATAAGTGATAGAAGTTTGGGGGAAGAAAAGGACCTCCATGTTAGACACTATCTCTACTTTCTTTCTCTCTCTCTCTCTCTCTCTCTCTCTCTCACACACACACACACACACACACACACACTTTCTCTACTTCTCTCTCTCTCTCACACACACACACACACACACACTCTAGTCAGCTAAAACTTTTTTACTACAAACCAAATGTTCTAAAGAATGAATCAGAAGTAACATTTTAGTAAGAATTTTAAAAAGTCCTGTAACAAGTCCTGTCATATATACCTCACCTCTCACAGTTATACTATCTAATGGTCTAATGGAGGGGATTCTATTTTAGTTTAAGAAATCCAGTTTTAGAAATAAGACAGAAGAGGGGCTATGTCTTTCTTTTTATTGCTAGCTTTTAAGCTTAAGAGCTACAAGCTTATATAGAACTCCAATAAAAATTCCATTTTATTTTTCTACAGTGGTGGGAACTGACTCAAAATGTTTTCAAAAGTAAATTACTGGGCCAAGGATCTTCGCCATATTAAATGCAATGTTTTTATATGGTGTATGCTCTCGGTATTCAGTCTAAAATGCAGCAGAAACATGTTGATACTTTCTCAAAGAACCAATTAAAATAATTAGGAGACAGATTTTCTTTTACTATAATAATGTAAAAAATATTAAAGTATAACAATTTTAATACTGTTAAGAATTTTCATATAGCTAACTTTATTTTCCACAAAATAGATTATAGTCAATGTACTTGAAAAAAGGCATTTCAATTCTAAAGAGATATTTGTATTGCTCTATCACAAATCTTGTACCAAAATGAGTTCTATAAATACAGAATTTATCTTCAACATAAATCTGCATGCTCGTGGATTAAAACTGCCCATCATCCTTGAATGCCTGATATTAATATAGTAAGCATTACATACAGGCTATCTTTTCTTTTGATGTGCTGGGGACCTGTGCATGCTCTGCTAGCACTTCCACTACTGACCTACATCCGCAGCACTAAAATATGATTTAATGTTCAGCACCATGACACACAGATACTTACTGAACCAAATGAGAAGACAATACAGAGAATTCAGTACTTTCCCTTAAATATTAAATTTTTGAAAATTCAGAGACCAGAAACACTTTTCTCAATCATATAACAATATATTAAAAGCTATAGCTATTGCAAGAACTAATTCTAAATGAGTAAAATTTGGAATATAATTGAAGTTCTTGTATAAAACTGTGAATGATATTAATAGTAAGTGTACTCTAGTGACAAGATAGAAGCAATGTAATCACCACCCAGTCCCATAGCTAAAATAAGGCACTACCTCAGGTAAGCAATTTGCCTCCCATGTCTCTATTTCATAATCAAGCAAAAACTGACAGAGGAAAAAACTCTTTTCTTTTTGTTTGAGACAAGGTCATATAGTTCTGGGCTGGTCAGAAACTCAACTTGAATTCCCCATCCTCCTGCCTCTACCTCTCAAATGCTAGACTGCATCTGTGAAACACCACACTTAGCTAATTTTTTTGTTTTGTTTTGTTTTGTTTTTCAAGACAGGGTTTCTCTGTGTAGCCCTGGGTGTCCTGAACTCACTCTGTAGACCAGGTTGGCCTCGAACTAAGAAATCCACCTGTCTCTGCCTCCCAAGTGTTGGGATTAAGGGCCACCATTGCCCACTAAAATTTTTAAATTCTAATTTTTAATTTCTGTTTCAAAGTGTTTTTTTTTTAAAAGATTAAAAATTAGGGACTGGGGGCTGGTGAGATGGCTCAGTGGTTAAGTGTACTGACTGGTCTTCCGGAGGTCATGAGTTCAAATCCCAGCAACCACATGGTGGCTCACAACCATCTGTAATGAGATCTGATGCCCTCTTATGGGGTGTCTGAAGACAGCTACAGTGTATTTACATACAATAAATAAATTTAAAAAAAAAAAAAAAGGCTTGGTGGCAAGCGCCTTTATTAAAAAAAAAAAAAAAAAAATTAGGGACTGGAGAGATGGCTCAGTAATTAAGAACACTGACTGCTCTTCCAGAGGTTCTGAGTTCAATCCCCAGCAACCACATGGTGGCTCACAACCATCTGTAATGTGATACAATGCCCTCTTCTGGTGTGTCTGAAGACAGCTACAGTATACTCATATACATTTAAAAAAATAAATAAATAGATTAAAAATCTATAAAAGGCCAAATGGTGGTGGCACTACCCTTCGATCTCAGAACTTGGGAGTCAGAGGCAGGAGGATCTCTATGAGTTTGAGGCCAGCCTAGTCTACAGAGTGAGTTCTAAAACAGCCATGGTTATGCAAGAAAGACCCTGTTTCAAAAAAACCAAAACTACAATAAACCCAAACAAACAAACAACAAAACAGAACAAACCAAAAATCTGTAAAAGGCCAAAAGGCAAAAGTCACATTTAACCTGTCCTTCATTAATCTGACATCAGAAAATAAAGTTTCTAGACAAAAACAAATTTTCAGAGCAATTCAAATATCCCCAAGTTCAAAATAGTATTTTATTTATGGTATCTAATCAAAGTAGATCATTTAGAAATAGGGCACTCAGCACATAATTTAACCTCTAAATGCCTCAGATTTCTTCATAAAATATTTCTCATACCTATTCCTTTCTGGGCACTAAATCTAGTTTCTGTTTAGACTGTAAGCTTTTACTAGTTTCTCCATGAATCATCCGTATTGCCATATGAGGTCTGTGGTTTTGTTTTAAACAACTAAATATATACAAAGGTAACCACTAGCACGTGACAGCCCTGAAGAGTACAGCTTTTTGATTGTACTGTACACCTCTGCTTGATGTCCTTTCTCCCTGCCTCTGACGCCCATCTAAGCCAACTGCTTTAATTTTTCAACTGCTTTACTTTGCAGGCATCAATCTTTTTCTTGCAAAGAATCCAGAGTGTATCTTGGCTTCCTAGAGAACTTCTATTCCCAGATACACTGCAGTCAGATTAAGAAAAACGCATTCTACCACACACACGCGCCCATGTAATCCCATCCAATAGACTCCTCATATAAACACATAAAAGTTTCCGGTGGGTACTTTAAGGACACAGGTAGTCACTCAAGCTTGTAGCTCCTTTCACTAGTTTCACTTTATATCCTCATCTCACTGTTATATGGGACAAACATAGGACACCTAGCTTGATTCCAGTATTTAGAAATATGAAGGGGGTGGGAGGATGGACACCCAAGACATACACACTAAGGGACAAGTCATGAAAGAAGGCAACAACCTCTGGGTGAAAAAGCCCACTTCACTAGATACTGAGTTTGAATTAGAGCAACATTACATTAGATTTCTTCTCCATTTAAAGTGACAAATGTCTTCTTCAATGGTAAAACTCAAATGGCAGGTACTTCAAGAGAATGCTGACAATGATCTCAAGATAACAGCTCCTCTGCCTCACTGTTGTAGGATTGTAATCTGGAAGTCTTTTACAGGGTATGCTGGAGCCAGACCTGGCCATGCAAATCTACAATCTGAGCACTTGGAGAGGCAGAGGCAGGTGGGTCTCTAAATGAGTTGGAGGCCAGCCTCATTTACATAGTGAGTTCTTGGACAGAGAAAGGGCTAGGAGCAGAGGACTGGAGGAGGGAGGGAAGGAGAACCTGTCTCAAAAAAACAAAACCAAACAAAAAGCCACACAAAACAAAATCCAAGACACACTGAGAATACATATTTAATACTTTAGGAAGGTAGGAACGTTGTTGACATTTCATTCCTCAAATGTTCACCTTATTTTTTGAGGTATCACTGATCCATTTAGGCTACATAACCAGTAAGTCCCAGAATCCTTCTGCCTCCACTTCCTAAGTGCAGGGATTACAACTGTTCATTACCATGCCTGGCTTTTCAGGGGTTGATACTAGAGCTCTAATTCAGATCCTCATGCTTATTTTAAGACAAACATTTTACCAAATGAGCTAGCTTCCCAACCCCATAGATTTTCTTTTTAAAATTAAATGATTGAGAGGCCTTAGCTTGTGAAAATTATCAGCCTACACAATCACATACCTGAAAAGAATGCGATACATCAAGAACACTTTCAAAGTACATTTTTCAAAACATGTACTATATTGAAAATAATCCAGAAGCACAGACCATGTTTCTTTCATTTAAAAATAATTTCAACTTTTCCTTCACAGAATTTGTTTTCCTTTATCAAAGAAATATACTTAAATTATAAGGTCTTCATGGCATGTAAATAGGTAATATAGGTAGAAAATTAGTATCATCTCAGTTTTATTCTCCAGATTCATTCATTGAAACTGAGCTTTTCTTATGTCTGCTATGCTAAATGGCACAGGCCCACAGGGAACAAGATCCCCACAACAGGAATAACTCACAACCTCAAACAAGCGCCCCAAGAGCAATGAATATTTATTTTAGTAAGTAATCTATCCGGAGAGTCTGGCAACTTACTGGGCTTTGCAATAACCTTGGACATTAAAGGCTAAGGGAAGTTGACCTTGAAACTGATAATTCAAAATAAGCCTAAGAAGAAAGAAAAAAAAAACCCAAAACCAAAACAAAAAAATCTTCCTATGTATGCTCTTGATGACATCCACCACAATCAGGCAGAAATCTTGAAAATGAGGAAAACATAAGAGCCCATTACAGATCTACAGTGTGCACTTGCCAGCTTCAATGAACCATACTGCATAGACTTCGGCTATCTCCCCACTACCAATACTCACTGTGATGGTTTATATATATTTGACCCAGGGAGTAGCACTTGATGTCCTAGACTTGATAATGAACTGAACCTCTGAACCTGTAAGCCAGTCCCAATTAAATGTTGTCCTTATAAGAGTTGCTTTGGTCATGTCTGTTCACAGCAGTAAAACCCTAACTAAGACAGGGACTGGGGTATTTCTGTAATGGGCCTGATTATGCTTTTGTTTGGAAGAATGTGGATATTGGGATTTGGAATGCAGTGGAATGCTTTCAATGGGGCTTAATGGGCTATCCTAGAAGGAATATGGAAGACTTTGTTACTGATAATGATTTGAACTGTGCAGAACTGGCCTATGAGGTTTCAATGGAGAATTTCATTATGTGGCCTACATACTGTTTTTGTGATATTTTGGAGAAGAATGTGGCTACTTTTTCCCCTTGTCTTTTAGTCTGTCTAAAGCTAAGCTGAAGAGTCTCAAATTAATTGCATTGACAAAGTAAGTCTCAGAAACGCCCATCATAGACTTTTTTCTCTGGTTAAGTCTCATGAAGAGCATTTTAAACAAGAGTACCAAGCTGAGAAAAGAAAAATATAAAATATATGGTTCTAGTATTAAAGGGGGACCAGGAAGTAAAACGGAGCTGAATCCTGTGTTCAAAGATATTAAATTGAATTAAGGGAGTGGTGACCTGGGCAAGATCCCACCCAGCTAAGTTTAGGTCCAGATATGGTAGTATAAGCCTTTAATCACAGGAGCCAAAGACAAGCAGAACTATGAGTTCAAGCATAGAACAGAGCAAGTTCTAGGTGAAGAAAAACTTAAATCCAGGCTTGGTGGACCACACCTTTAACCCCAGTGCTTAGTAGACAGACATGCAGATCTCCGAGTTCAGTCAGTCTAAAGGGCAAGTTCCAGGACAGCCAAGCTTAAGCAGTGAAGGAGTTTGAAAACATAAAGTTGGCAGGGCAGTAGTGGTGGCACATGCCTTTAATCCCAGCACTTGGGAGGCAGAGGCAGGCGGATTTCTGAGTTCAAGGCCAGCTTGGTCTACAGAGTGAGTTCCAGGACAGCCAGGACTACACAGAGAAACCCTGTCTCAAAAAACCTAAAAACAAAACAAAACAAAAACAACAACAACAAAAAAACCCAAAACAAAAAACAA